GCGCGCGCTCAAGATAAGAGCTTTTCGAATAAAGGAAAAACATCGCGTAGGACGAGAAGATAAGTTGTAGGAGAACGTGCGAGGAAAGAAGGAAGGTGGCCTGAGAAAGATTAATATCTCCATCAGAGAGGTTCAGCGTAGCAGAGCCATTTATCTACGTAAGGCCCTGCGAAAGACGCCCCGTGCAATCCTGTCTCTTTGCTTCCTCTTCCTGCTCTTAGCAAGGTCCACCCGGGACCTTGGACGAAAGTTTATTTCACCGTCAACGGCATTTAAGAGAGCAGATTCACCGTATCGGCAACAGCCTGAAAATAAAGGCGAAGAAAGATAGGCAGAGAGCCGAGCTGATTCGCCGGTTGTCGTCCTCTGCGAGAGAACTTGATTCGACACCCCCACAACACCCGTTGCTCAGTTGCGCGATCTCAATCGATTGCGCGACACGCGTATGGCGGGATGACTCGATATCATTCCAACAGAAGGGAAGGACCACACTCAGTGTGGTCGAACGAATTTTTCACAGATTAATAGATGCTTTCGGGTGTGATATGAAAGAGGCAAAGACCCAAATGAACGTATCGTGTAAACGCGTAAACACTCGCCCGTTGTCCGTTAGATGTTAGAAACGCGTACGAAACGAGTAAAGTAGAATCTATCTCTACTAACGCCTAGTCTTCGTAGTTTGAGTCTTTGAGCGAGTTTGCGATTATGTTGCGAGACACGCAATGGCAAACCTGCCCCCTTGCCCCATCAACGTCCGTCCCTCCCCCGGGGGATAAAGCCATAGCAAGTAAATAGCGCGACGGTCTTCAAATAATGATGACTTTGAGCACGCAATAATAACGCATCTAATTGACAACTTTGGCATTATGCGCTAATGAACGTCGATCCTCGCAGGATTGAGCTGCAAAATGCGCACCATCCAAATTAGCACCTCTCGTATAGCGTTGTAATTTCTGCACTTATCAATCCTTGACGACGCCCATCATGGAATCGCCCAATGGAATCGCCAAATGCCCAAATCGCTCGTTTACGTTATACGAGCGTGTCAAACTTGTTAAATAAATAAATAAACCATGTCGGCTATGATGATCGTGGCCACAAAGGGTGCTCCCTTATTCCCCGACCGTTAATAACTTGGCCGTGTGTGATAGCAGAGACCACCGACGAGAAAGTGTCGAGTGTCTCGCGATGATTTAATTAAAAGCCCGTTCGCTTCCTCCATTGATCCTTCTTCACGCGAATTATCCTTTTCTATCTTTCTTCACCGTCTTCTATCCGGCAACAAGCGTCGTGCGCAAATACGAGAGAACTTGGTGTATCTTTTGTATCCTTGTATCCTAACGGGCATAATACGACGAGTGCGGACGCACTCTATGTTCCCAGTCTTTTGTTGAACAGTGAGCCCGAAATCTTGAGTTCGCGAGGTCTCGCTTAAGTTAAGAGAGAACTGAGAACCGGAATCAACAGCGAGACCATTTGCGATATCTACTATACGTCGAACAGATGTCTTTAACGCTTTACGAGGCCCATAAAGTGTCGATGTACTATTCCCTCTCGCTCGTATATCTCTGGCACGAGAGCGAGGGGAAGCATTGTCGCCACTGTTTATGCGTCTCATTAGATATACCGCTGTCGTCGATTCCTCGATGGAGTAAAAGCCCGTTCTCTCTTCTCTTCTCCTCTCTCTCTCTCTCTCTCTCTCTCTCTCTCTCTCTCTCTCTCTCTCTCTCTCTCTCTCTCACTCTCTTTCATCTCGTGACACTTTACTCGAGCCTCGCAGAGATTTTACCGGTGCTATCTGGTGCACTCGGTAATGTCTTCATCTGCTTGTCCTTGCTGTTCAGACAACTTTATGCACGCGTGTCATGTTCCATCCTTTGAAATATGTAATATTTTTCGAAGAATACAAACGTATAAATTATTTTAACCTGAATTTATGTGTGCGTACGTGCACACACTTATCCAATTATATTTAAATTTCAACTTTGACTATATAATCGCTTCTACGCTGTTTATTACTGAAAATTCGTTTCATCGATCATCGTTATGACAATGATAACACATACATAATGGCACGATTCTATTTGTCCGACTTTTTCTTTTGAGAAGTCTGGTATAATTACAGAATCACAAAGGGGCAAGGTGGTCAACGAAGAACTTCAGGGAGAGGCAAGTAGAGGAAAGGACAGAGCTACTCTCTGGTAATCATGCTGCGGACGAATGCCGAGACATTTATCACCGGTGATGTGTTTAATGTGCAGCCGTTAAATACGTGCGCTAAGCACGCCATGCCGTCCAAACACACTCAGACTAACAAATTAACGCCGATATGTTAACACTCGAACCAAAAGACCGAACATTCTTCGCAAAGTGCTAGAGAAATCGCGCTTTCTCACTTTCAGTTCTGACGCCGAAAAACATGTCATTCATCCATTCAACTTTATTTATTTTGGTAAACGTGAACAAAAAGCACTTTGCAAATTCATTCAAGAATATGCCGTTAAAGTTTCACACACGGTAAAAATGACATGAAATAGTACTTTGGTAAATGTTTCTTACACACATGCGTGCGTTCGCCTACATACACACACACACACACACACATTCACGCGTACCTGAATGCACTCAGTTATGCGAATGCATTATGCAACCGCGTCATACGTGGCGCCAAAAATATATTGGTCGGCAATTGCCAAATTTGGTTACGTCGGTCCTCTTTGCTCGTTTAATTATGCCGCGAGAATGTCATGCGTAAAAATGCGCAAATAATGCGCAAAAATGCTTTTTTCAGCGAGAATGGAAAACGCTGACGACCTAGCGCAGCTTTCCGTGAAACTATGTACAACAAACAATCGTGCATTTTCGTAATTTGACTTTGAATGCCGAATCGAGAAATATGAAATTACAAAAGACTGTTTTTGGTAAGAATAAGAGATCAAACAAATGAGAGAGAGAGAGAGAGAGAGAGAGAGACATATATATATATATCACATATAAGATATTGACATAATATGTTAGGCGTGTGATTTCATAAGAGCTAATTGAGCAAACTGTCGCTATTGCAACCATAGTCGTGAAATGTGCAAACGATGGTAAATTATAAATCCGAGTGCTACATTCCGTGAAGCCTTCAGAAAACGTCCTTGTGACGCAACGTGCGCGAAACAATCATTAGCGGCGCGTTTGAACGGCGCGACAGCGACGTATATATGTATATACATGGCAGAAATACCGTTACGCTCCGATAATAATCGTGCCAGGTGTTTCGATACAACGAGTAATTTCGACCTCTAAATTTTAGCGTCCGCGTAGACTATTCGCGATCATTATTTTCATGGTTTGCGTCTTTCGTAAATAACGTTGCCTCACCGTGAAACGTGGCAATATCGTTGCGTCATTTGCGAATTTTACACATGAATTGCACACGAGCGCACTCAGCTCTTCTCTAATATTATTTCATCAAATGGCTGCTACGCGCGCCTAATATATCGATACATTTTCATCTTACTGTTTATATTTTTCATTACATACAGATCAATAATGGTAAAGAATATTTTTCGGCGAAATATTACTTTGTATGTCACTGTCCGCGGCAAATAGTTTTAAAGAAATGCTCATATGCAGAAGATATTAAATATATGAACCCTTACTACAAAAACCTGTATTTTTCGCACGCCACGAACCCCATAATCTGGACCCAAAAATCTCTCACCCCAGATTCTCATAACCCAATACATCATGAGTTCTATCATGAGTCCTGAAATCTCTTCATTGCTGGAACGCCATGAGCCCTGAACCCCACAAGCCGAATCAGGACTCCCTCATATCTCCAAAACGCCATTGATCCAAATCTCATCCAAAGATATTTACCGAATTTAAAAATTTTAGAGGTGAAAGATTGGAAACCTCGAAATTTTTAGCAGGATTTTCCACTGTTTTCATGACTTTTGCTCGTTTCGGTTCATATTATGGCGCCGCCATCTTGCGGCGCTAAAAATACCACACGGCATCGAAAAATAGACATTTCAACGAAAATTTTGAGCTCTATAAAAGTGATTTATATCGAAAATTGAGATGTGCAGGGGGGTGGCTGATTTGACAGAGAGCCCCATATATATGTGTATATATATATATATATATATATATCTATATCTATATATCGTTATACAGTGTCACTTCTCTTCGCGCCACAAATTCAAATATGATCGTTAAATTTCGAAGCAATGGTCATGTGATTTCCTATCGGTTGTCATTTCGTGATTTAATGTATGATAGATTAACCGAATAAACGAGAGCAAATCCATCGGTCGTGACACAAGTTGTAATTGATTATATTTCAAGTACCGTGCTTGTAATTTAAAAGCCATTGTCGCATAAGTATACATCATCTTACCTGAGTCAAGAACAGCGTCGTGCCCGACGTGTGTATTCAGACGCAAACGTCGTTGACAGCTTACGCCAGTCGTTGATATGTATCTCACATCCGCAGTAACATACCGTCACAAAAGAAAATCCGCACTCATGATATCTAAGTGCGTGAATCATAAAACGCGAGACAATTCCTTCTCAATGTGTATTCGTGCGATACGATGTATCAATGCGAATCATTGTGTGTGTGTGTGTGTGTGTGTGTGTGTGTATATCTTGACATAGTTGAGAAAGTAAACGGTATGATCGCGCGTTACATTCGAACCGACGACGACGAGCGGCGAACGATGACTGCGTGGAGCTTCGTGCGACCGTGATGGCGCACGCGCGCACGACTCGTAAGGAACGAAGAGGGGCAATGTGACCGCGAAACCACAACCATAAAAATGTTGTGAAAAAAGCTGGATCTACAAATGGTTACCCAAATTCCAAATTTTCAACTTATTTAATGTTATTATTTTACACACCGACGGTATCGTATCGACACTGTCGTGTCGCAATTACGGAAAGGGTATAACGGAGGTAAATCGGCATAGGAATCACGCAGAGGAAGATAATTTTGACATACGTTAGGCTTGAAATTTAGCAATTATATTTCCCAATATAAGTATAATAAGCTTCGTGTGGCAGTATATTAAATATAAGTATTTGCAGGTGCACTTCTTATGACAATGTATGCCTCTTAATAATAATAAATATAATAAAGTAAAAACTTTGATGCTCACGCGAATTGATACGATCGATTGTGCGACTGACGCACATTTGTAATTTATCAATCTGTGATTGATTTCTTTTGCATTACTGTCGGCAAAAATGTTTCATGTCGACTATTCCAGTGAATCGAAAAATTTCGAAAAGCTCAAACATTAAATTCCTATTGTAAATTATAATATCGAACAACCCTCTCCCTCCCCTCCCTCGCACAAACATAAGTAGAAAGATATCGACAATTGTACATTTAAATATTATATCACGCGTTCGCTCCAAATACGTTTCACGCATTGGTTATGATTAATTGGTGTATGAGTGTGTATGTGTATGTGCGCGCGTATGCGTGTGTGTGTGTGTGTGTGTATATATATAATATGATATAATGTGATATAAATATCTAATGAATGCATCTTAATATTTGGCGTGAATCACGTTTGAAACCTATCGTAATCGCGCGAATCGATGTACTTGTACGTTACATTAAGGACATAAGACAACAGTGAACATAAACAAGAACAAAAAATACTTATTACATTATTTAGCATATTGGTATAAATTCGCGAATAAATTCTAAAAATCGGAATTCCGCGATACATATAAACGAACAAATAAACAAACATACGAGCGAAAGAATCACAGTAACAATGCCATTTGTATCGTTTTACTTCGAGTAATCGAGCTTTATGTCATTAGGATTATGTACACGATTTGTCGACATATATCATACATGATCGTGTTACAAAAATTGTCGAAAAGCACTGCCGCAGCAAGAATGGCTATAAATTAGCGAAGACTGAGCAACAAAGGGCGCGACATACTACCCTCTTAATATTCTGCATTGATACAGTCGAGTCAAGAGAACCAACTAAGAGAATTTACAAAATTTACCAAAATTTCATCTATTAATACATCTATGTCATCAAACTGTTCTCTATCATTTATAATATTTAACGTTCTACATTCAAATTTTAATTTATATATTTATACATCATATTATTTTTTTAACTCTGACAGAAAGAATTAAAAGACTGGCTTAAATATAGGAATTGAACATAATATATTGAGATAAAAATATCTTGACGAATGTCACACATGGTATGTTCACCATTATTTTTCTTGGTTTGGAGATATGTAAAAATGAAGAAGAATGTACACTTTCACTAATTATAAATAAATCACTGCACTTCTATAATTGATACATTGTATGCATCTTTTACCTAAATTTCAATTGCACGATTATGATTGCATTTTCTGCGACTTGACAAAATTCACACTCTTGCTTTCTCAGTTCTTGCCTTCATCTTTTACAAACATCTATAAAAATAATTTTAATAATAGTCATCTGTCTCTCTCTCTCTCTCTCTCTCTCTCTCTCCCCCCTCCTCCTCCTCCCTTCTTCCTCGTTCTCTGTTTTTCTTTCTACGCGTAGTGCGTGCTCTTTCCGTCAATTTCTACATTCGTCGTTTCTTATTGCTTGTATCACGATTTCGTGATTCGGTACGACGTCCCTATAAAAATAATCGTTTCCTCCCCTGTCTGTTCTTGAGCAAATTTAGTTATGCACTACGCTTATCTCGGACACCTCAGAATTATACGATTTCTCGCCCTTTGTTCTCATGTTCTCGATAAGTTTTCAATCGTTAATCGCTAATCGCTGGTTACTAATCGCCAATCGCCAATCGCCAATCGTTAATCTCGCTCGCACCTTCTCGCAAATCAAGTTTAACCTTCTTATTTATTACCTTAAATCTTTCGGTGTCCTACATACTATTCTCCGAAGAAATGTTTGGTCTAAATCGCAATATTTTGGTCTAAAATTGCAAAATCTACTCGTACCTATAACAAATTTCTTTCGTATTAACTGTAATAAGCCCTAAAAATCTACCATATAATATTTGTTAGCTCATTTCCAAATCGTCTTAATAAATCATATTTAACAAGAAATATAAGGTATTTATGTTGTGCTGTCTGTGTGTGTGTGTGTGTGTGTGTGTGTAATATGAAAGTATATGTATTACAACAAACTTTTTCACAACTAAATCCAAGCAGACGCACATTATATCGTTGAATCAGAATACTAGCTTTCTTAAATACAGATTTGAGATAATTTAAAAATGAGCTTTTGGATTGTTTTTGTACATCATCAACATATGTTCCGTTAAAACTTGTTTTGCGTCAGAGAGCCGAAAGGATCGATCGAATGCGCTCTCTCTTTCTCTCTCTCTCTCTCTCTCTCTCTCTCTCTCACCTACTCGCGCTTCATCTACATCTAGATTTACGTAGACATTTGATACAAAATAACCTACTTAAATGCATTTGGCATGTTTTGTTCTTATTTCAAAGTTCGCCCAATTGTTCGAATCTCGTTCATTATCACGCATGTTCGACTTACTCTTTACAGTGCCGTCATGACACTTCAGGACGATTCAGGACCGGTTACATCAACGTCACTTAACGCTAAACGCGATTACTAATTCTTTATACTCTTATTAATCTAATTCTAAACTAGCATCTGTCTCTCTAGAAAAGGACGAATTGCAATCGGGATTAAATGCTAAAAGACCCTTCCGATTAACTCTGGAAATTAATACTGGAAAGTACAATTTACGCATGACTTTTAACCTCGTATTTTAACCTGGTATTATTATTATTATTATTATTATTATTATCGTGTTAAAATTCTGCGACTAACAACCGTCTTTGGTCTTCCTCGGCTATTCAGCTTCGACAGCAGGAGCAGCAGCGACAGGAATTCTATGAAAATACACGCGAGTTAAAAGAGAGGTCTTTCTTTCACTGTCTCGTTGATCCCGCGCGTGTTCTCTAGCAATCTACGTCATTTTGCAATAAATTTCGGGGAATCGAAGACAGAACTTGAGAATTTAAAGAAATTTAAACAAGTTTGATAGGTAGAGCTCCCAAGTATGAAGTAGACTTCACCAGACTTCAGCCTCCTTTCTTTCCTCTCGCGCGTTACATTAGCATAGTTTTCCTTTAATTTCTTACCATAGTTCCCCCCCATGTATTTCCACGTGTAATCTATACAAAATTCCATGCAACGTGACACATTTCTGAAGCGCGCGCGTACAGAATGACGAAGGAGCAGGTGGCTAGAACGAATGCGAGGCTTGCCTTTCCGGTCGTATTAAGCGTTTAATTGCACTCTTGGGCTCTGGACTCGCTCTTGCCCGGCGACCCAGTCCTGTCCAGTAGTGATTAAACCTCCTCGGCACAGTCCTGTCTCAAAGTACGATAAACCCCTTAACTGTTGATCGTGTCATCACTTTGTCCTGCTCGTGATTAAACTCGCGTTCACCACACTCGGCCGTACGTGAACGTTTTGGCGGCTCGACTTGCATCTGCTGGCAACAGTCGAGGTGTCCACCACTGACTTCCGGCTCTTATCTGCTTTCTCCTGCGTCGTTTTCTCTGCCTCTTCGTCCTTGCTCTTACTAATTTCCGTCGACCTGCTGGCGCGAGCCGCCGATTTGCATGTGATCCTCCCGGCTCTGGTTTCTCCTTCAAGATAGTTCTTCCTCGACGGTTGCGGCGTATAATATAGACTGAATCGCTTCGCTTTACTCGCTGTCGGTCTCTGCCGCTCGGCGGCTTCTCTCAGCTCGTCCGTAGAGTTAAACTTGCGCGTTACCACCTTGCTGTTGCTAACCGTCTCCTCTGCCGACGACTTTTTGACGGCGTACGGCGAAAAACAGCTGTATCTCTTATTCTTGTCCGCGTTCCTCGAGTCTGTTTGACCTTTTCTCCCAATGTATCTCTCGTGTCGCAATTTGACCGGTTCGTTTGATCTCGCACATCTATTCATTTCCTGAACTCTCGAATTGCCACAAGTTTTCCCTTCGGCTTGATTGTCCACCTTGGCTGATTTTGACGTCGGGATGAGAGAGGCGATTCGAGTCTGCGGCAGAGACTTTGTGACAGACTTTTCATCCCGGTGATTGCGATGTGCCGTAAGTTTCGAAGGAATCTGCGGAGAATGACTCACCGAGAGGCGACCGTTATCGTTAGCATCGCCCGCCGCGTATCGGAAGCTCACGTTCTCGAAGCTGTCAGTCGACTCCATGCTCTGAGTCGAGCTCGATTTTTGATCGCGCGCCAGTCGCGCAAACTGAATATTCACGAAGCTGTCGGAAGTCTCGATGTCGTTACCGCCGGTCGAACTGTGAGACAGACTGCTCTCGCTGGATGTCGACACGGCAGTAGTCGATACATTGCTGTTGCGGAAGTCGTCGCTGTCGAACAGATTTTTCCGCTTAAATCTCTTGTTGCCGCTGCTGCTGTTGAGGATGCGTTTGGACAACAGTTTAGGTGTCTCATGGTGGTGAATGTTAACGTCGAAATACTTGGCTGTCTTGGATGTGTTTCCGTTCTTTTTGTCGCCGCGACAGTTTCTGGGAGTTGCCGGAGAATTCCCGGCGCAGCGAATCGACGACTTGCTGTGATGGTTGCGTGTGATCGTCGCCGGCTTCGAATCGTCGTCTCGCAGCGACGAGTTGAGATTCTCCGGAATGCTATTGAGTGACGACGCGGCACTACGTGGTGTCAACTGGCATCGCGACGTCTTATTCTCGTTCAGATTCAGATTGTTTATCAGATCGTGCATCGAACGGCTGAGATTATGTACGTCCTGCGGACAGTCAGAATCGAGAAATGCCGAATCGCCATCATCATCGCCGTCGTCGTCGTCGTCGTCGTCGTCGTCGTCGTCGTCGTCGTCGTCGTCGTCGTCGTCATCGTCGTCATCGTTTTCACCATCGTCGTCGTTGTTGTCGTTATTGCCGATCTCTTCCTCTTGCTTGCGATTACCATTGGCAAAGTCGATTTCGTCGCAGTCTTCTCGCCCTTTCATCGATTCTTTCCGGAACTCGATACGTTCAACCGGAGCATCGATTCGCTTCCATTCGGATCTCGCGCTCGTCCTGGCAGTCTCCCTGTCTGGCGAGTCCTGCTGGTGATCGCGCTGCTTCTTGAAATCGAACTCGAAGGTTGCTAGCCTTATCGGCTTACGCTGCTGATTCCGGTGTTGCTCCGCCGTGCCGGTGGATGCTGCTGATGCTGCGGTCTGCTCGCCTCCTAGAAAGCTCTGCTGATATACAGAGGCGGGACAAAAGAAAAGAAAAAGCACTGCTACAGATACAGCAAACCACTACGAAAGCTTTCTTTAGTATGTGATCAAAGCTGACGAAGCGCGACGGGAGAGGTGAGTTTCCGATCACGCCCGATCACGACGATCACACGGAAACTCTATCCAGCGAGCAAAGCATAGGAAACATCGATGACAAGCTCGATTAGATCGACAATTGTCTCATCGGAGCAAGCATGAAACTTGAAGGGAAGAGAAATCAAATCACGCGAGTCTCAATTCAATTCTCTGACAAAAATATGACATTTAAACCCGTTGACATCGTATTGACATCGACATCCCAAACGCTAAACCTACTAGAGCCCCTTTCAATACAGCGTGCCCAAAAAAATAATAAATTCGACAGCGAACATGTGAGCGTGACGAGAGAGAGAGAGAGAGAGAGAGAGAGAGAGAGAGAGAGGGGGGGGGGAGAGAGAAAGAAACATTTGATCGATTAATCGCGCATTGTCTTGTCTCCGAATTACGGAGAATAAGAAAAAGAGAGGGATCAAGCCATGCTGGACTGTGGTGAGGCTAGGACGTGGAGGAAGATCCTTCTAATTGTGGTACAGTGATTGTATACTATCAATGACAGTTACCGCGAGCCACGGATGATCCAGCACGTCTTCGGCAGTGAAGCGAAGCTCAGGCTGCGCTTGCAGCATGTTTGAGATGAGCTGCTTCGCGGAGTCGGATATCGCGTCCCAATACGGCGATGTGAACTCGTACTGTCCGCTCAGAATACGTTCGAACAGTTCCTCCTGTTCGTTCTCCGGCGATACGAACGGCGGGAAGCCGCATAAGAGGATATACAGGATCACTCCAGCCGCCCATACGTCGATCTGAAAACGGCGCACACATGAATATGGTCTCAAAACGAAAGAGAATCTTCGCTGCGATGGAACGGACGGAATTTCCTTCGAGACAAATCGCACAAGACAGACATATCCTGTACCTTTAAACCGTATCCGGTTTCCGCGAGAATTTCCGGGGCAACGTAAGTCGGCGTACCGCAGACTGTGTACAGAGGCTCTCGTACTACCTGCGCGAGCCCGAAATCGCCCAGTTTCAAGCACCTCACGTGACTACCATCCATCTCAACCAGGAGGTTCTCGGGTTTCACGTCACGATGTACAATATGATGCGAGTGCAGATAAGCTAGGGCGGACGTCAAATGGCCGATCATCACACTGGCCTCCGCTTCGGAGAATTTTGTCGCGGCTGCAATCGCGTCGAACAAATCTCCGCCCTGAGGAACAAAAGGCAAATATGTCGAATCGCTTGAATATCGCTGAGCCGTTGCATACACACATGCTCGTATGCGTGCTACCGGAGTACTACAGGAGCGTGTGTACAGCACTTGAGCGGATAAGACGACGTACCTTTACAAGTTCCATAACTAAAAACAGCTGATTAGCAGTCTCCTGCTCCGCGATCAAACTAATGATGTTCGGATGGCAGACTTGTCTCAAGATCGCCACTTCGCTCGCCAGCATCTCCTTGCCCTGACACCTGTACATGTCCACGATTTTTACGGCGTATTCCACACCGGTAGACCTGAAAATAACATCGATACATATCTTGAAGCGTATCTCAGATTAGCCCGTAGGACTAAAGCAGCTTTGCATAACGGAGCTTAATTTTTGCATTTGCCATTATCAGCAAAGACACGCGTGTGTTTTAGGCTGGCCAACGGGCAACTACATGTGAAATTTATGGAAATGTTCACTACCAACGTCGCGGAAATTATCCATATCAGTCATATCAGTGATCCAGCGTTTTCCGCTTTTCTCTCCCCCTCTCTCTCTCTCTCTCTCGCTCTCTCTAGTTTGCTGATTCTTTTGGCAGGAGTTACTTCTTTTGCGCAACTATATTGTACAAAAAATGCATCCTCTCGTCGATCTATACCGCGATACTCACTTGTGGATGCAATGCCTAACAACGGCAAAGTTCCCTTCGCCGATAATGTGTCCCACGGCGTAGTGCAACCTCAAGGGCTGCGGCAATATCGAAAACGACGGACTGGGGGTCCTGACTTGTGGCGTGGTGAGGGTCTTTTTGCCAGACTTTCTCGGCATTCTGGGCATCGGGCCGCTTTGACGCTTGGAGCTCCAAAGGCATCGTCGGAAGCTCTGCACGCACTTGGTCTCCTCAAAGTCCAGTTCGAAATCTTCCTGGGCGGACTTCTCCGGGCCATATGCCACAAAGATATCATCGTTCTCGAAGAATTGCTCGAGCGAGGTCACCTGCTGGCCAGACAACGTGTAGACCTTCCTCACCGCTCCGGAATCGAGCTTCACCGCTTCCGTGATCGCCTCCATCGCGTGCTCGAGACTAGGCGCGTTGCGTTTGTTCAGCAACAGCCGTAGAACCTTGCGCGGCTTGGTGCCATGGCGAATCAGCGTCACTATGCGCGCCTTGACGCACAATGGAATCGCGCTAGTTTGTCTGCCTGTACCGCTACCAATTCCAGTAGCTGCCGGAGACTGCGGCAATCCCGATAGGGAGCTACCGCGCCTGACCTTGGACGAAGAGTACTCCACCTTTTTGAAGATCTCACCTTGACCAGACACCACGTAGCACTTGCCGTCTTCTAGGTCACTCACGCTCTGCACCTTGCGACCGTCCATCGTATAAATGGCGCGAACACCGTTCGGCAGGGTCACGCTGGACACCAAGGCACGTGTTAAGTCGGATGCGAGGCTATCGAAGCTGCGATATCGTTCCGGTGTCACCGCCATCACCACGCCGGTGTAATATTTGTCGCCGTTACGGAAGAAGCGGACGCGCTTGGCTTTTTTAGTCAACGGCGTTCGGAGGACGTTCAAAGTGTGTCGCGACGTGATGTCCAGTATTCTCTCATCCAGGCTGACTATGGTACTGGAAGAGTTGAGATCACCGCCACCAGTCGAGAGGTTACCATCGCTGGAGGGCGAGGCGCCTTGGCCCAAAGATTCTTCCATCATCCTGCAAAAATGTGTTGCATCTTGTATCACAGAGAGATATATATATATATAGTTACATTATCACTTGTAGTATCTGAATCGAGTGACAGATCTAGAGATTAACGCAGGTCGTACGAAGCTCCAGGTGAGACGAGCGATCCAGGTTTTCGCACGATTCCGCAGTCCGCTGTACGCGTTGTTTTGATATTTGCAGACTTGCAGAAGCTTTACTCTCCATCGAATGCAAGCAGCACTTTTCTCCCATAAGCTTACACACAGTTTACAGACACAGCTAAAAATGCAAATAAAGTATGGCCTCTTTTTCTAATATTTACCAACACATTCGTATGCACGGAGGATCATCGGTGCATTTTATTCTCTCACCGACGCGACGGTGTGAGTCACGTTTTAGAAAGCGCGCTCGGCAAGTGCGGTGGGAGCGAAATTTCACCTGGATGCTCACAGAACCCCGATCGGCTCAAGTGTTACGAGCGACTATAACGAGAAACACAAAGACACCGTGGTGTGTGGTTTTAGAATGCACTGGCGAAGCTGAGGAACTTGAGGCTTGAGGTTACTCGTGAGAAAGAGGAAGAGGGGAGAAAGGGAGGGAGGGAGGGAGAAAAAAGAGAGAGAGAGAGAGAGAGAGAGAGAGAGAGTGAGAATGAGAGAGAGAGAGAGAGAGAGAGAGAAAGGAGGGAGGGAGGAAGAAGTGACATGTCGACGTCGATGATGACGATAACGACGACAACGACAACGACGACGACGACAACAGAATGTTCGGCGCCAATACATTTAACCTGATCCTTGGCTCGCTGCTGCCAATTTATCGATACGAGTCGCTGACGGCAGCGACTCGCAAAAGGCGAATGCACTCACTCACTCATCTGCTTGCAGGTCGAGCAGAATGCGAGTTTCGTCGATCGTCTCTCGGTAGAACGGGACGAGTGGAGAGTCAACGCCTGACGGACAGCGTGAATCACCACCAGCAGCTCGTTAACATTTTCACTTTCGACGGTTTTACAGGCAACTACTATCAGCGTGGTGGTGGGAACGCGGAGCGACGCGAAGCTCGCCGGGTGCGGCCGAGGACGAGATGTGCGATGGACCGGTGGATGACGAATGCTGATTGACGAATCGATCTCTGATCCCCTTTTCCTTAAAAGAGTGTGGTTATCTTCTCCATCTTTTCAAATTCTATCAATTGTCCTATCGTATCGTCCAAAATCTAATCCGACTTTTTTCCGTTGCGCGTGTGTATGTGTGTGTGTGTGTGTGTGTATGCACGCGCGCGCGCGCGCGTGACTCATCTCTTGACAGTCTGTTCGATCCGTCATGGAGTCGTACTACTTGAAATATAAAAGTCTCTTCATTGCCTCTCGTTTTCCCGCATTTGTTCCTGCGGTTGCTACCGTTGGATGATATCAGCCAAGAAGAGGAGTCTCGATTCGACATAGCCAATCGGTGCAAACCTTTCTCTCTCATCTGAATTACTACATCCAGCCAATCGTTTAATCTTTTGGTCTGTTCCTTTTAGCTACACTACTGAACTGGTGCAATAAGTTAAAGTGAGAAAAAATATATTGTTTTCTCTCATTCTAACTTGTTGCACTAATTCCGCAGTGCAGTTAAAAAGAACAGACCATTTGTGTCCAATGCTGTGTCGAATCGACATACACCCATGGCCAGGGTGTGACGTCATCTTTCATCGAACATAGCCTCTTTAGCGGGCGCTCGTTGGCTGTTAGCCGTTTCACTGCGGATTGGCTGGCTTGAGGTCCCAACGGCGGCATCACAGTGGCGACTCTACCAGTTTTAAAATCTCCGCTGAGAGTCGCTAGTGTGCGCAAGACGACAAATAATAAACGTCATATGTACTACGTACATATGTATGTACTATACTCAATGGAAAGAATTCAACGGGCTCACACTTTTTAAACAGGTAGGAATCAACGGTAAGTTGTAGTACCATTTATTTTTGTACGATACGATTAACGATACGATTTAACGACGGATCAAACGATCTTTCCCTTCCTTTGGTATAATCCGCTGTTTCGCAATATCTGCCGTTCTATATAAGAAGCACATACGTAACAATGAAAGATTGTTCCATTACCATGTCGTTTCTTACAGCGCGGTACATATACGTTACTGTATCCTAGCCTACGTAAGCGTCGTCAAATATTATCACATATAATTTGTTAGAAAGTAAATAATTGAACATTTGACGCGTGTAAATCATGACGAAAGAATTAATTATTCTATTATATTCTATCTAATATTCTATTATATTCTAATATTCTATTATATTTTATCTAATAACTTATTCTTCCCAAACGCTCATTCTGTCCTGCTAGATTGCTCGTCTGCTACGATACGCGCCAATAGGCACGGATGTAACTAAATCTGTATACGGCGCATGTTTGTTGTAAATAAAACTTGCAGTTGGATTAGGTAATAGTAATAGTAATAATACATATATAAAATTAAAAATTAAAAGGAGAAAATTCTATATATCACTGTAGTGTTAGTTTCACAACAAAAATCCTCAAGTCCTCTGGTAGCCGTGATCGTCTAGTGGTTAGGACCCTACGTTGTGGCCGTAGTAACCCAGGTTCGAATCCTGGTCACGGCAATGTCCAGCAAACGAGAGAGGTGTGTGCGTTGTGTGTTGTGGCATTGTCACGGCGGAGGTTTTCTTTTTTTCTGACACATGAATTTACATCATAAGAGATCAACAAGCGAAACTGAAATATCGACATACATAAATGCGTGCGTATTGTTTTTATCTAATGTCACTTTTGTACAACTTGGTTTAAGGAAATGAGATTATATACTACGTGTTAACTAACAGCGTGCATGTGAAAATTAAGAAGGAAATCGTAAATCAAGTATAAGAAAAGCTTCTCAAGTGAGAAAAATATTTGCAATTTATATTGCAGTGTTCTTTGTGTGCTTGAACGCAATAATATATATATATATATATATATATATATACACACATATAAAAAGAAGTTGAACACAAGAAGTTGCAAACAAGTTTCTTATGTAAAGTTATTATTTTACATTTTTAGTTTTTGTTTGTGAAACAATTTCAGATGATATATAGAGTTATCTGTACATCTATAATTTTATATATCTATAGTTTAAAGAGAAATATATAATTTACCACCATCATTTAGAATGGCCACACACACACACACACACACACACACACATACACAATATACATGTATAATGCATATATATACATATATACATGTGTGTGTACTTTTTGCAATAACAAATATTATTAAAGTCCATGTTTCTTATTTTAGAGTTGTACACGTCAGTTTACGTGAAACTTGTTATTAAGTCTTGCAACGTGTGAGCCAATGTGGAGAGATTCGTCCTCTATCCTATCCAGCTATGAGTCACGACAGAAACGGAAGAAATGGAGGATGTTGCGATGACTACAAACGGCAGCAACAGGTCCGTACTTGGATCAACGATGATCTTGTTATCTCCTACATACATTTAATATTAAATGTACAAAAGTTTGCTGATACTCGTGAAATGTTGCTGCAAAAAGTTACTTTTCTCGTTACTTTGCCGTTTTCCTCTGCTGCACTTGGTGTACAAACAGACACACCAAGTAAGCAGGTAACTATGGTCACCAGGTAGTACACAATGCGACTCGAGTGGGACGAGGAAAGGGTAGTGCAGTGGGGAGGTGGACGCGTACAGAGGAAGGAGAGCGGCGACGATACGGCTCGCAGTCTCGTTTGGCGCGCGTTCGTTGTCGGTAGTGGCTGGCCTGAGTGCGGGTGTAAGAAGTGAAACAGTGGTTTGGAGAGAGGAAAGAGGAGAGGAAAAAAGAGAAGTGTGGGAAAAGAGAACGCCTTGCGAAAAGCAACTTTTGCAACGGTGCCAATAGCAAACGGAAGAGAGGAAAAGGAAGATCTCAGCGTGCAAGATGCCGACTGCGTGAGAGGACGAAAAGGACATCGTCCTAATCACCGTACGGACAACGTGACGGAAAATGCGGCCGCAACACGTCGTGGCAGGTGAGTCAGGCCCTTCCCCCTCCTGCCGAGTCAGGTCGCCATCGCTGAGCGTCGTCAAGCCGCGGACCCCGCGAGCGTCCAAGCGCATGAAGCCCCGTGCTTCCTATTTCTGTCCGATAGATACAATCGCGTTGGATCCTTTCAAATAGATCGCGATTGCTCCTGAATCACATGAGGTTGTACATCCACGTCGTCGTAATCGTATCGCGGAAACCGTTGTCGATTTCAGATTCGAAAAGTATCACCTGCGACGATCCGCATCATAAGGATCATAATTTACGTCGAATTTCACGTGTAATAAAACACGTGAAATCACGAGTCGCCATTCGATTCAACATTCGATCGTTGACCAAGAATAGTTGTCTCTTTTGCGGTAAGATCCCAGATTCGAGATCCTCGATCCTCGATCGTGAGAAACTATAGCGAATCGGGATGTGTAGCAATCTATAGCTTTAACCTATAGTTGATCTATACGTGTATACGTATGTATGTATATATATATATATATATATATATATAGTTTAACCAATGCTACGAATCACAACAGAAAGGTCGTTCTTCGTTCATGATAATTTTTTATTCGGTGCAGATATTTTACAACTTAGACAGACTTCGTGCAGGTGTCTTCACCGAACACGGTGAAACCGTAACACAGGATCGGTATGTAGACGATTTACACGACGAGATTACATAGAGTTACATAGACTGATTGTTGAACGATAACTAAAGCATTCGCGAGTGGGAAATGTTTGAGATCGGCTAAATCGGCTAAATCAAGAAAAAGGTTCGATCGAGATTGCGTTTGGTTAAGTTATAAATCAATATACAAAAGATCCATGGCCAATGGCTCGATCGGACACGATCGCGCAACTGTTTTATCGAATGATTTACGTAATAATATATGTAAATCCGGCGGCCCGACCGTGGGCCGGACATGGCAAGCGGAGGAGTCCACCTATGAGACGTTCGCACGCATCTGATTGTCCGTCTATCCTACTCTAGTACTGTTATGTAGACGCTCGTGAGTGTTAATGCTGCATCAACTGAAAAGCTGTGTCGTTACGCTCCGAGGCGTACTCGAGGCGTACTTCGAATCGTTTACAAAGTGGCTTCTACCTCGCGGCTTTTGGCTTCCAGCTTCTGGTTACTGCTGGTTTTTGCTGATAGCATTTGTCGTGCACCTACGATGCGATAATTAGCAAGAATATGCTAGAGTTTGAAAATGTCGCCATAAAACATTTTGTAGAAAGTAGAGAAACTTCGAGAGCAGAGAAAGAGAGAGAGAGAGAGAGAGAGAGAGAGAGAGAGAGAGAGAGAGAGAGAGAGAGAGAGAGAGAGATAATGTGGCTGGGAAAAAGAGATATATCCTACGGATTACATCTGTGACGAAATGTCAAGGACCACATTAATAAAACACTCTCATGAAACGCACGAGTATGATTCATCGAGACCGATAATAGGGACGTAAGAAATATGTGAATGTGGATGCGCAATCGTAAACGCAACCAGTTAATAACGTATGATGATGAGATTGATCAGCGCGCAAAATTTGACCGACTGTTAGTAATTTTTAGAAGGAATTTAATGCAGAATCAAAATTGGATAGGATGCGAAACAGAAGGGAGATAAAAAATGCCGAAAGAATAAAACTGGGGTTCTTTGTATATCGAGGTTTGTACAATCGACATCGGAAATATTTATTTTGCTATTTCACGAGAAAATTTTATTCAGCGGTGGACGTAGTCACTGTTTGATTGTTTGTTCTTTCTTTGCTCGCAACTTGCGTCGTGAGGATACATCGTGATAACGAAACTTGCTGAATCTATTGAAATCTCCCGCGAGTGATTTCAACACCAGATGGGACGACGAGGAAAACTCTTCTTCGACGCGGTGCAATAGAACATTAAATTATAATTTTACTAAATTTATAAGATATTTTTAATCTTTATACATGTGCTTTCTATTATGCTTCCTATATATAATATTATTTAAATTTTCTTTTTCGATTTTCTACGATACGAATGTCTTGATCAACTTTAATCAAACGTGTTTCGACGATTTATATTCGCGCGCGACTAAAAAATTATAACGATACTGGACGAAGGAGAGAGCGAGAGAGCGAGAGAGAGAGAGAGAGAGAGAGAGAGAGAGAGAGAGAGAGAGAGAGAGAGGGGGGGGGGCGGAGGGGTGAAGGCAGAATTATAATGTAACACAAAGAATGAATAAGACAGAGAGTATGGTTAGTTATTCCCCCCACTATATCGTGCATAGCAATGAAAAATTATGATTACGTGCGATATAAAATCCATTTATGACACATATCATTCGTGTTTGATATCGGTGCAACAAACTCCGCGATACAATCGATAGCAAAAGTGGTACGAGTAGTTGTATCGTTGGCTTGTTATTTTTCCTTTGTTAGTTTAAACTTTATCATTTTATAGTTTTATATTTATCCGTTTTAAAAAGGGAATGATGATTTTGTTTCGTCTTTCTGTTTGCAAACACTATTGTATACTGGTTACACCGCGCACACGCGATTACGAAAACAATGTCGCATGTGCGGCTTACTTATCGTAAAATTGAAAATTGCAAAGTCGCCAGAGTAAATTTTATTCTGAAACAACGAAAAAAGTCATCATCAAATTTCGGTATTGCATTGGCGTACTTAATCCGAATTACTCGATTTGCTTCAAATTCCCGATTGCGAAATCTGCAGGGCGAATCGCGTGGTCCCACATACCTGACTTACGAGATATCGATCGCTTTAAATCTCATTGTAATATCGCGTTCCACTCGACGACGTCGTAGAGCGAGTCGTCTCTCTTGTGTGAGAGGCTTTTCCGTGAAATAAAGAAAAAAAAAAAAAGAAAAAATCGCGCGATTTAATTACCAGAGGCAATTATCGTGGAAGTGGCGTAGCCTCCGCGCGTGTAATCTCCGTCACTCGAAAGTTCGGTGATTAGATCGACGACGTGGGACTTTGTCAGCTCAAAGGCTGACAAGAGTGCATTAGACGCGATATGAGCTCCGCGTGCGGCTCCGCGTGAATTTCTCTGCGCTTATCTTTAGTCTCTACATAGCTTTCATTTTCCTTTGATTATCATTGTTTTATTTTTCGAATATCACTATGTTTAAAGTAACATTGCGAGCTTATTGTAGAAGCTTTCTCCATCTTAATCCTCTGTCATTCCTGTTGGACGAATTTCACCATTGCACAATTGTTATAATGCACTTTTAAATGTATTAGTTTCATCATCAATCGATACTAGTACTTGTGTCAACGTTGCGTGTCTCGCGCAATGGAAAAATAGCGTAAAAATATTTGAACTCGGAAGCCGTGTATATTCAGTTGGAACTTTTCTACACCGAGCTATTGAAATATACCTGGAGTCGAGCGCAGGTGGAAGCCACATCGGTACATCAACACGAGTCCCTTTCTTCACGCTCAGGTGCGTGCTTTGAACGACACGCGTGCTCGCGCACACACACACACACACACACACACATGTAGGAAGAAAGGCGTAGACGTTCGTTGCTACCTACCGGACGAAACTGCCGTTAACCGTTTTTCGTTTCGCGTCGTAAGCGAAAGAAGAGCCACCCGCACTTTGTAAGCGTAGGCGCGGCGTTACAGCCTCGCAGGAAAATTGAAGAAGCTCAGGTCTGGACAGAAAGTGATGGTTTTCACGACGGCACTCGTGGAATTCTTCATCATAGGGTTGTTCGAGGTTTTATGGAAGAACTGCCTCTTCGAATATCGCTCTGTGCACTCTCCTTCATAGTTTTACTTTTACGAATCATATCGATCGATCGATAATTATGATTCGCAATCAGATTGATTTAGTTTTCCTAAAGAAAAGATTGGCACGAAATTCCACGAAAAGTACAATACCTAACCCAACGCTTCATGCGTTGGTAACGTAAATAATTGCGTGATCACCTTAATCGCGCGCGTTACCTAATTTCCGTAAGCTCCTCTGTTCCGCAGCTCCTCTGTTCTGTGCGGAATAGCATTGCATCGATGAATGCATTTCGCGCGCGACGAGCTTCGCGAGACGAGAGAGAACTTTGCCGACACGTATACACACGTATTGCGCGCGAGACATGCGCGATAAAACGCGACTATTAAATATATAATTGTCTCTCTTCTGCGCGAGATCGGATCAGGTCGAAAACGACGAGACGTATTATTTTCGGCGTGATTATCGCTCGTTTTACTCGTCAAAGACTCCCGCAAGACTCCCGGAATAGACGAAAGGTCGTTCTTGCCGTACCCCCCCTCCCCCTCCCCCCATCCAGCTCATGGCTTCTTTTCGGATGCATTCGGAGATGCATCAGAATTTAGCGTAAATTAGCACGTCAATGTTCATCATCCTTCCCCCGGATTCGGGATCGCTGATGTGATCTTCGGAAAATCGATTTCTCTCCGGTAGGAAATTGATTTTCTACCGGCAATCAAACCCCGCGTCAATGTTTGTATCGCGTCGACGTTTGTCGGTCGCAAATGCCTGCTGCTTCACCGCGGGAGCGGATTACATTTTTGCAATGCATCTGTCTTACGAGCGTGTATAATTTGGAGAAATTATGATTCCCCTTCATCTCCTGTAGAGAAAAAAAAGAAAGAGAAGAAAGAGAAAAGTAAAGAATACAATATAAGAATCGACGACACAATATAGAAAAACATTGCTAATTCTAAAACATTTTCTACAATAATACTGGACGATATTTCGTTTCAATCAAATAGAAGAAGAGAATAAAATAAATAAAGAGGAGATTAATTTATCTTCTATCTTGATTTAAGAAACAGTTACTTCCGAATTCTAAAATTTACCTTTTTGACTTCGTAGATTCTCATCGCTTCATTTGTATTTTAGATCCCCCTGTACACTTTGCATATTCCATTATGTACATATTCGTCAATCAGCATTTACTATGTTTCCTCGATGCAAATATCTTGTATCAAATCGACCCTACAACGAGATGTATTCTCGCGTGAA